ACCTAGAAACCACCTCCAGAAGGAGACTCCAGCACCTAGAAACCTGGTAATATATTTGGCGACCCAGCCAGGAGAGCATTCCCAAAGACCTACTGTGGACGGCTTGTGAAAACTCAAACAGGTTTACAATAGGATGGCCTAGACCTGACATCAGCCTGAGGTGTGGTTGATACAAAAAGGACAGTGCATACTGAGTTTTTGGCCACTGTGTTCTCTCTTGCATGATGACCTGGCCTCATGCTATAGGGGGTACTTCTTTTCCTACTTTTACTTGGCCCAAACTCACTCTGCAGAGCTTGTTTCTTTTCCTACCATTAAAAAAAATACTGGGTGGAAGAAGTGGAATCTCTGATACATGGTTTTTAAAAACGCAGATTTTGGGGCTGGGGATTTAGCTCAGTGGTTTTGCCACCTGCTGCGCAAGTGCAAGGATCAGAATTCGATCCCCAGTACCAAAAAAAACCCACTGCAGATTTCTGTGTATGCATGTGTGTGTGCGTACGTGTGTGTGCTGGAGATTGAACCCTTTGCACTGAGCTACATCCCCAGCCCTTTAAAAAATTTATTTTAAGACAAGATCCTGCTAAATTCCTAAGTTGTCCAGGCTGGGCTCAAACTTGTGAATCCCCCTCCCTCTGCCTCCCAGAATGCTGGGATGACAGATACGCACCACCACACCCAGTTTAGATGTTATTTTTACAGCAGTTTTACACTCTCAGCAGAACTGAACTGGAACCAGACAGTTCACATGCAGCCGCTGGCCCCCACCACAGCCCCTCCACATCAAGTGTGTGTCCTGCACTGACCGTCACCATTACCCAGGTCCCATAGTGTCCCCTAGGTTCACTCTTGGTGGTGTGCATTGTATGGGTCCCCACAATGTGTGCTGACCTGTATCCACCAGTGTTAGCATCGGACAGCAAAGGTTTGTCTTCCTAGAATCCTTGGGGCTCTGCCTATTTGTGCCTCTGCCTGAACCCTTGGTAACCACTAATATCTTCATTGTCTCCACACTTTGCCTTTTCTAGAAAGTTATGAGGTTGGAATCAGACAGTATGGAACATTTTCAGATCAGCTTCTTCCATTTTATAACATGCACTCTTTCTCTGCTTGACAGCTCTTTCCTCACAGAAATGTTTGCTTTGTTTTCCATTTCACACCTATGCTCAGGCTTTTCTTCACAAGTGGAGCACCTTTCCAACTGCTTAGCATCCTTGTCCATGGGCCCCCTCATCCCTGTCACTTCTGAGTCTTTTTGTATTAACTGATGTTTCTCCTGCTTCACTGCACATTGGTCAATTTTTCATTGGATGCTGAGCATTTTAAATTTCACACTGAGTGCTCCATTTTTCGTTCCTATAAACAGAATTGGATTTTTCTTCAGGCACAGAAGTTACTTGGAATGAATTCTTTCAGGACTGGTGTTTTAAGTTTTGTTAAGGCAGGTCCTAAGGTGGTCCAAGGGTTCCACCCAAGCCCAGCTCTGTCTTCACTCTCTGATTACTGCTGCAAACTGCCCAGCGCTATATGAGGGCTGGGTTCCTTCTCCTTTCTGGTGGGACTGCCCTGGGTAGGCTCCTCCCCTCCACACTCAGGTCAGTGACCAGCAAGACTTGGGCTCTTTCTGGAGCTGATGCTCCCTCTCATGCAATGCCCTCCTCTCTGCCACTTGGCCTTTGGCTTCCTGAAGTCCAACCTTGGTCTTTTCAACCCAGCAACACAGAGTCTGTCAAGTTTCCACCCTCCTGCACCTCAGCCTGCAAATTGCCTGGCAGGCTATAAGCTTGCTAATCACAGAGCTGACCCAAATCCCCTGCCCATAAAACCTTTTTCTTTTTGATAATTCTTAGGATTGAACCCAGAGCCCTATGGTCCTGCCTCTGCCCCCTCAGAGTGCTAGGACTACCAGTGTATGTTACCAGATTGCAGTATTCTTGATTTGGGTAAGTGTGCCTTATCCAAAATGCTTAGAAACCAGAACTGTTTCAGATTTTGGAAGGTTGTTTTTCTTGGTGGAGGGGGATACCCTCATAATCTTTACTGGTGGAGCATCTCTCATCTGAAATAAAATCCAAAAATGTTTGAGTGGGACAAGTTTCAGACAGGGATTTTTACTTTAGGGATTCTCTATATATACATTATCTGGAAACTGGCAGAGGAAAGGGGTTCATTTTGAAATTTCATATTCAGCCCAGTTAGAAAGCAAACAAAACACCATTCTTTCCTAGCAAAGATGGTTTATTCAGTTCCACAGAGGAAATGTGACACTATTCCACAGCAAAACCAACTCTGGCTCTGATGGAGGAAAGGCAGATTAGCAATACACTTCCAATAAAGCCTGGTTAGTACCGATAACTGTGTTAGACTCGGGCAGTTTCCTCTGGTCTTCTCAAATTAAGATTTTTCTAAAACAATTCTGGTATTTCAATTAAAGGTCACGAGTGGAGGGGACAATAATCAGCAGTGGACCGGACCGGACTGCCAATTGAGGCAGGGGAGACTTTGGGGAACCAGGAACAAGAGCAATTCAAGCATGGATCAAAGTGGCAAAGAATGTACAAAAAAGATTAGCAGTGTAAATATTGACAAACTTATAAAGGATTTTTCACAGATAGAAAAGAAAATGATAGAAACCAGTGGAAGGAATAACATACTGGAAATTCAGTTGGAAAAGAGTACCTATTTATTAAAAGTAATGCAAACAAAGGAAGCCTCAATTAAAAAAGAATGTGCTGCTCTTCATGATATGATAAAAGGACAACAGGCCACTGAATATCAACACAATTTGAGAAGTGAAAATGAACAACTAAAAAGAAATGCTGATATGACAAGGGAAAAGCTGAAATCTCACAAACAGAAATATAAGAATAATATTGCCAAACTTGTACATAAAATGAAAATCAAAGAGGAAGAACAGGGGCCGGGGATTTAACTCAGTGGTTTTGCCGCCTGCTGCGCAGGTGCAAGGACCCAAGTTCAATCCCTGGTACCAAAAGAAAAAAACAAGAACATAAGATAGAAATAAGCAAACTTTATCAAGATATGCAGAAAATAGTTGAATTAAATGAAGAAAAGCACTAAGATCTAATAAAGAAAAAGGAGATGGAAATCTCAGTTAAATGCCAAGTGAGTAACTCAAGAAAAGAAAAGCAAAATGAAATAATCAAACTACAGCTGGAGAAAGTTTGGTATTCCTGGAGTGCCTGATGAGGTATCAAGTGTAATCATTGGGCAGAAAGGGGACTTATGTTGACTTTTATGCTACTTCTGCTGCTTCTGGCAAAGTGTACCCACAAATTACAGAGGGGGCTAGATGGGCAGATGAAATCCTGTAAGTCTTATTTCAAGATCTACTACCGAATCCTACCGATTGGGAATTTGCACTTTGTTATATGGGCTTTGTCACTGGTCTAGCCTAAGTCTGTTATTTGGTATATAGTACTCTGTTGTTTGTCTTCATTAAAACTATCCATTTCTTTTGTTAAACTAGAACACAGTCTCCTATAGAGTTTATTCTTAGTCCTGAGACAGGATACACTAAAATAAATCTGAAGGCATGAATTTTATTGACATATTGTACAATAATTGCTTGTAAGAATGGCCTTTGAAAAATTAAGAACCAAGATACATCATGTAAAGGTACAAGATCCCAAAGATGAATGTAACTGTACTGTATACCTAAAATATACCAATAAACTTAATGGAAAAAAAAATTGCTACAATTAACAAACAAACAAACAAAAAAGGTCAAGAGTGAAATTCACAGGTTTATAAAATATGTGATTTGTGCTTAAAAAATTAATAGTTGTTGGATAGCCACCATTTTTGGAAGTGATTTCAACAGTCCACGAAGTGTTTTATAAGTATTTCAGAATACATCTAAAAGCTTTATCCCCATACAACTAAGTATCTTCTTTGTAAAAATAAAAACATATCCTAAAAATTAAAATGGTAAGATGTTGCAAATGAAATAAAAATATTTAAAAATTAATAAATATTGGGCTGGGGATTTAGTTCAGTGGTTCCACCGCCTGCTGCACAAGCGCAAGGACCCGAGTTCAATTCCCAGTATCAAAAAAAAAAAAAAGATTGGAATAAATATTAAAGTGAAAAAAATATGCCCTTTCACAGAACTGTAATGGATACTTATTACTAACCTCTTACAAAGAATTACTTCTTTTTTTTTTTTCTTTTTTTGGTATTGGGGATTGAACTCGGGTCCTTGTGCTTGCACACCAGGTGGCGAAACCACTGAGCTAAATCCCCGGCCCAAAAAATTACTTTTTAAAAAACCCATACAGTACTGAAAAAACAGAGATATAGTTGGAAAGTCTATAAACTTTCTTCCCTTTAAAAACTTTTAAAAACGTTTTGAAAAGAAATAGTTCCTTCCTTAAAAATTTATCACACCCATCACAATTACCACAGCTGTCACTGCTTTGGTATAAAAATAGTTAGAAATCAGTATTAGCCGGGGATTTAGCTCAGTGGTTTCCCCGTCTGCTGCGCAAGTGCAAGGACCTGAGTTCAATCCCCGGTACCAAAAAAAAAAAAAAA